AAGATTGAGCAAATTAGTGCAAGCCGGATGAGTGTAAGCTGAATGTGCTGTCGGAAGATGAAGAGCAGAAACTGCAGAATAACCAAGAGCGCAAAGTTGATGTGTTCGCAGAGGTGCATAACGGAACAGTGACGATTGATTTTAGCTAGTATGTGGCCAATAAAGACCTCTTCTATGGTAGATAGCTTACCGTCATTAGATAGGTGTTTACTACTATGCAGCACTGCGGATAGATGATGAAGACAACAACTGCCATGGAAACCACGCCCCAGGTAGAACTGGGTGTCAAAACTGGAAGTGATTAGTGGAAAAAGGAGTAACTAGTTACCAAAGAAAAGAGTGGTTTAAGGCTTCAATACGTTATTGCTTCATCTTAGATTGGCTAAAACCTAACAAGCTCCGCGGGAAGCTGAAAGTTGGAGAAGTGTGAGAATAAAGTACACCAACAAAAGGTGCCTAGCTCTTACAGCTTTAACGTTCGCTTGAGCGCTTCATACCGCCACGGAAGTCGGAAAAGTCATCAGTCATCCCACTGGCGCAGGTAACGATACCAGGCTGAATGGCAAACATCGAGTAAGTGCATATCAAAAAGGGCTCCAAGCTAAGGATGTTTGCGGGTCAGGCGTATGTAATCCATTAGTCAAAGTAGGCTTGGCTTGTTTGCAGTGTTTCAAGTGGTAGCATCCAAAGTGTTCCAGCTTATCCTAACAGCAGGTGCGAGAGGTGCATAACTAACAAGATGTCCTTTGGTTCTGTACTACCTGTTCGACCGTCACATTTGTTAAATGTTTGCTTGTCCTAGTCCAGAAATGTAACTGGTTGGTAACGGAAGCCGTGCAGCGAAGTAACACTAAGACCATCTCACTGAAAGAAAGTCTGAAACAGTTAAACCTACGGACATTTCACCAAAGTACTATTGCACAAGTTGTTGCTTCTGAACCACGATCAGCCAAGTCCCGATCACCGTTGTCTTCCTCCAGGCAAAAAGGAAACATGTGAGTAATCAAATCCCACCATTCTTGATGACACCTGTATGCAAAAAGCAGGTAGCAGCCGAACAGGAACCCTCAGTATCTACAGCTCAGGGGTCTATTGTCGAGCCAAATACCCCTAGAATATCAGTCACCTATGCCGCAATGGCTGCGAAGTTCACCCGAGATGCCACCATTTCACTCACTTCTGTTACAAACACCGTTAACTTGAATAGAGAGACAATCGATAAGCAATCATTACTTGGTAACAAGTCAGAAAGAACGATCCCCAAACCTTACAGCTCAACAAAAAACGGATATAACAATAGTGCCCTGAATGTTGTGTGCTCGAACGTACCCGAATCAGCAGCTACCATGTTGCAAAGTAAATTGTCCGACGACCTAAACCAATGGGAGTCACTGTGCTTTCTGATAAAAGTGAAGCCAAACCCACAAACTTATTACAAATTACTCATTACCCGACCTCCACACTTTGGCGAGCTCAGACTTATTAGAGTAACACTTGAATCCCCAACAGATGTGGAATGATTTTGCCCTCCTCAAACGGTCTACAACATGGGTCATGTGGTATACGTATCAACCCTGATGTTCCGTTGAACGTGTGACAGTCAAAAAGCAACTCCGAAAAAGACCGCAGCTTAAACATTAGCTTCATCCATGGTGTGCCAGAGCTACAAGAGGCCAGAAATGACGATTTAGAGCAATGACCATTTACCCGCGAAACGCTTAGCTTGACTAATTTTATGACGCGATGGCTCAGAAGGTTACCTCTCTCCAAATTTTAGAGGATGCGGCCAAAGAATCCTAAAACTTGTGGTTCCTTCCGAGAAAGCAGCGACGGATGTTTTAGATAGTTGGTGTAAAAACCGAAAAACATTGCCATCGGAACTTCGGTTAAGGACTGCAGATACTTCGCAAACTCTAATTAGAAAATCATCCGAAAAGTAGACAAACCGGCGAGGATTGCACCTTTACCCGATAATGACGTAGATGTAGATGAAGGCTTAACCAGAGCAGTGTACAGAAGTAGTAGCAGTATCTTATCAAAAAACGAATAACGGTGGACCTCATATCGGTCGGCACTTCCACACACCTGAATTCTTTGACCTCCTGTGGTGTACTAGATACCAATAAATTAGCCTAGTTTTACACAAATGCTCAGGAACTTTTCAATAAGCTGACCCAATTGAAAGTTTTTCAAGTTTCCCAGAAATAGGAAATCATCGGTGTCAGGGATACGTGGTTACACACTGAAAGGACGGACGCTGTAAGTTTGCCTCCTGGCATGTCAGTCATTCGGAACGACTTACTGACAAAAGAAGGAGGTGTAATTTTGTATTACCGAAACAACCTACAGTGCGAGGTCATGGAGGATTCAGATTCGCTGATTCCTGATTCGCTTTGGTGCCGCCTGCAGTTACGAGACAGACACTTGCCTTATAGCCTTAGTTTACCGTCACCCTAACTCTACATCTAAAACGGACTACTAACTTGCGACTGCTCTACGGCCAACTCTAAAAGGAAGATAAACTCACATTTTGACCATGGGAGATTTCAATGTGTATTGTGTTGAAATCCCTGCCAGGAGCGGAGAACATTGTAAAGCCGATCTGCAGGAGCTTGTAGACAGTTTTCCGCTTTGTAATCATGTCATTTCACCCACTCGGTTCAGAACAGGTAATAGGCCATCTGTGCTTGACCTTGTGCTTACCTATGGAGAACATATGGTTAATTGGTTTGGTTGTAGACTACCCGTTAGGTTGCAGTGCTCAGGTGGTAATTAGTTTTAACTTTATCTGCCATGCCGAATAACAAGATGCGGATCATGAGACGGCGCGAACCATCACGTGCTACAACCGATTAGCCCACCTCGTCAGTACCACAACTTGGTCGTTCCTTGTCGAACACCCCCGAAAGTCGCATGTCTCGACTTCGTAAACAAAATCAGTTGCATGGTTTCAGATGCTTCAGAGACGAAAGTTTGTAAACGGTCTGAAACATTTACTTACGTAAGGAGAAGAACTTAAAACTTGCTGGCAGTACGCAACGCAGCGTGGCGAGATTATAGATTATCCACAACAGCAGAAACTTGAATAACGTAACCGAAAGAAACTGTTGCACTCAACTGCTCAGAGAGGACAAAGCCGCGCGTCAGAAGAAGATAGCAAAAACACTCAGTGCTAAGCATAAATTGCTGTATAAATACCTCAATGCTTCACGGTAGATGAAGCAAGGAGGTCCGCCACTCGATACAGCTGATAGGTGAACGCTAACGGATACGGAAGCATCAAACGCGCTGTGGATGCAATATGCCCCCACCTTCCAGACGGAATTACCATTAAAAGATCCTCCGCTATTCTCCCTCCTCCGCCGGGTCTCACTCACAACTCCTTTACCACCGAAGTTATCTTGCAGAAGTTGACTGCTATACTCAAGCACAAAGCCGTCGGTGTCGACAATATTCGCCCAAAGACACTGGGAGCAGCGGCAAGTCAACTAGCAGAACGGGCGGCCCAATCCTTCCAGCTTTGCGTAGACCAAAACCAAGTTCCTGCCATGTGGACGCTCGGAGTAATAGTACCCATTCATAAGGATGTAGGCACAACCGTGGCTTCAAACTACCGCCCAGTTTTCCTTCTCCTTATACTATCCAAGGTTATGGAATCCAACAAAGCCGATGTGCCGGTGGGCTATTTGGAAAACGGTAACATTATTATTTGTGAGCAGCACGGCTTCCCTCGAAATCAATCATGCACAATGAATTTGCTAATAGCAGGGAGTAGCTGGACCCGGTCAGCTGACGCTGGAGTGGAGGTTGATGTTATCTACCTAAATTTCTCGAAAGCATTCGACCGTCTAGATCATCGGATACTACTTTCAAGCTACAGCGTCACTGGATCGGTGACCCTCTTCTAAGCTGAATCGCCAACTATCTCCATCAGCGGCAACTGGTTGTCAGAGTAAGGAGTACCTTCTCTGACCCATACAAGTTGAGTGTGGTGTGCCTCAAGGCTCAATGCTAGGTCCCCGATTGTTTTTGTATTTATCAATGACCTCACACAGGCAATTGCATCTAATTTCCTGCTGTTTGCCATTGACATTAAGGTTTGGCCCAGGGTTCAGGAGAATATTGATCAGTACATGCTTCAGAGTGATCTAGACACGGTACATCAGTGGTCCATCCAAAATTCACTGCAATTCAATGTGAATAAATGCAAGGCGCTCTCCATACGATACCAGAGCAACCACTGTTATAGGCTCGGAACGCATGTGCTGCAGCGAGCTGCCACCGAACGTGCTTTGGAGGTACTGGTTCAAGCTGATCTGCGTTGTTCCAGACAATCCGCGAAAGCCTCCAAAACTGGTAAGCAACATTTGGGCCTGTTACGACGGACGTTCGGACAAATAGATTGCTCTATATTCAGACAAATGCTTAGTGCGTGTTCGTCTTCATGTGGAATATGCAATTCAAGCCTGGCACCCTTGGCTAAAACACGACCATAGTGCATTGGAGCATCCCCAACGTCGAGCATCAAATTACATTATTGGAATGAACCAAGTTCCATACGAAAAGAGGCTGGAACGATTGGGAGCGTGCTGCAGACGTTACCGCCGCTTATGAGGTGACTTGATAATGGTATACTTAATTTTACACGATCCAAACTTTGTGTGCCGCTCTTTACCGCAACTCAACAGTAATACCAATTTGAGAGGTCACTCACTAAAACTGACAGAACGGTACGGCCGCCTGCATAATCGTAGGAATTTCTTTTCCTTCCGCGTGTGTCACCCGTGGAATGTTCTTCCAGAATCGGTCATTACAGCACCATCACTATCCATATTTAGAATACGTTTGGATGACACACTATGTTAATACATCTCCATCCCACTCCTGGAATATACATTAGATTTTTTTTGCTGTTACGTATTTTTCCTTTAAAACCACACGGATAGCAGGACTACAGCGAAAAAAACGATAAGTCCCTCTTTTAAACGTAGATAACTCACCGCTTTTTGTTTTGCGATAACCCTGCAACAACGCCCAACGGTACATGTGGAGCATTGCATCTTCATCCGGATAAAGTCAATGTTCGTTATACATTGTCATTCGACCAGCATCCATTCGATGGAATGACCGATGATGAATTACCGGCTTATCTCATATCGTCTCCTGGAAACGCAGAGTAATGTCACCTAATATAAATGTTATTGTGCACCAAGAATCTGGTCTTCGCATATCCAAAACCCAGTCTCAAGAATGAGCTATATAGACTAGATGCGAATCTGTTGACTAACTCAACTAAAAATCCAGATACCTTCAAAGTGGTCACGTCGCGTCACAGTAATCAACTGGTTGTTTCTTTATGAAGATCAGAAATAAATTTGGGGTGGGGGTGGTAGGCATTTTTGGAATTTTGCCAGAATTGACGAATTATTGTGAGGACAAACAATAAGCACTGATACCATTCATAGCGCACAAAGCACGATGTAAGTATAAGCAGAGAAGGATGGTGGGAACAATACCTAACATTCGCATCGTCTATGGCGTGGATAATGAATTAGTTGAACGTAGCCGACACGGATCTAGTTGAAAGAAAAGTAGGGTCTCTCGGCAGTAGACAGAGAATCCTAGCATTGGAGTACTTTGGTACCCAAATAACACATACTGTGTCAGCTTTTGTCTTGGATTTTAATCTAATTAATTCGTAATGCGACGGCAATCATTCGAGCAGGCTGATGTTATACGGCAGCGGATTCGTACCCCGAACTTTTCTTGTACAACTACGGGCCACATTTCTATCTCAGGAATTAAACCATTCAGCGCACAAGTAACACCAGTTTAGCATTGATCGATGCAACGAAGTCACGTAGGTTATGACACAAATATTATTCCACAGCGATGATAAGTAAAAGTGGTGTCAGATACAGGAAGACGGAGAAGTGTAATACATTTGGATCCAATGTGCAATTGGCGGTTACCGGCGAGGAATGGGAAGCAATTGCACGTGAGTGAGGAGAAGCGTAACGTCTAATTCACCTGGTAGAGGAATCTGATGAGTTACAATCAGTAAAACAATTGTAAGGTTGGAGGACGCAAAGACCAATGAAGCTCAATGTTCCCAGGCGCTGACAGAGTAAATGTTTCTAGTTCATTGCAAAATTCTCTCGCTACATGCATAGTGGTGCGAAGCGTTTGGTAAAACTTTGTTTGGGAAAGGGTGAGTAAGACCTAGAAGTCAGGAGCAACAAGTTCGTTTGAAAATGCCAATCAAATATTTGGCCTCGAGCAGAGTTGCCTAGGTATAAACTTTTTGTTTATTAACTATTTCTTATTTGGGTGTGGACTGAAGGGTATTATCTGTGGGCCGTCGTTGCGGACTCGTCAGAAGCAAATGCTGTCTTACCATGAAAGTGACTGACCTGCTATTTTATCCTCTGCTGACACGACGACGTGCTTGGGACTCGGCACTTGCCCCTGCCGCACTCCAACTTGCGGTCACTACGGTTCACGTCTCAAACATACGTCCAGACGTCCTCATCGGCATCGCGTATCCGAGCCTTTTTAGACAAATCCGGTTGCTGACAGCAACGGTGAAACTTGGCTGACTGTGGCGTGAAACCGGTGTGAGGGGATTTGAACCCCGTACAAACAACACAATGAACGCTGTGGCTACTTGTTGACTGGTATTTTGGAACGTAGGGATCAAATGGCGCTGAGACGTGGATACACAGGTGTCTTTATGGTCGATGTGATTGGTGGCATGCCTATAAGGCAAAAGAGATGCCTTTTCCAGGTTTGCAAAACCTTTCGGTATTTTGTTATCTTCTGAAACAAATATGCAAATGGCAAAAAAGCTTGCTAAGGGATGTAACAAACCCACATGATGTTAATAACTGAAACAAGAATTGGACCTGTGTAGGTCTCCCTTATTTGCCTCGGTTTTTATTGTCTACTTGAATATGCAATGGAAAAATTGCATTCCGAGTTGTCTGATGCTTCGGGGTTACCGCAGATGAGGTTGCCTGTGCTCAAACATGGTGTTGGATTGGAAGTAGATCGGTAAAGAAGACGACCGGGGGTCCACTGCGTTGCTCAAGCCCGCGATATGACTAAATGTCCACGAAACTTGTGCAGGCGGAAACTTCCTGCGTTGATTGCGTGAAGCAGAACGAGATGAAAACTGGGTATTTGAGAGGAAGCGGTTGAAAGTAACCCAATCTTTAAAATCCGTGCTAATGATTCGGTGTGTGTTTGTAAATCACTTTGCATTAGTGGGTGGTAAGCACATAAGAGTTGTTTACATTTTCTCATCTCAAGCGTCGAAATGGATTTATGAAAACTCAGCTTGTGCTTGACAGCGATGATACTAGGCACATAGTTGCTGACGCAATTCGACCATACCTGCACTGCAACTAGAAGCCTCGTGGCTCATTCGTAGTGTATTTCATCCAAAGACCGCTGTACGGATGGGTCTTGCTGGCGAGGAGAAGTTGCAGATAAACTGGAAAAGCTGTCACCTTATGCTGTTGGAATAGCAGACGGTAGAGAGTACATTTTCCAGTTGAATCAGCACAATGGTTAAAGCGCAACGCTGATGAGTTCTATATGGCAAATGACATCTCTATCCACGTGCCCAAACTGAGTATTTAAAAACAACCCTGCCGGAATCGAATTGGGAAACCATCAGATCAAAGAACACAACTACGACACCCGGAACGACGAGTGCATTTGTCAAACACCCGTATTGCGGTCACTCGTGAATTTGAACTATTCCTGTGTCTTTGCCAAAGGGATTTGTTTATCAGTTGATGGAAACGTGTAAATACTTTTGTTCGATTAAACCGGCTAAACTTTGTTCAAAACCTTACTGATAGACGTTGCTTCGATCCGTTTTGCATGAGTAAGTCAGTTGGCCCCATACATATGTCAAACAGGTACACCAAATCGTATTGGTCGCGCCCATTCCCTTGCCCTTAGATGAGTCGGAATTCACGCTCCGCTATTTTTGTTAGGGTGACTACATTCACGGAGTTAGTAATGATGTGATCTATTGTGTAACTTCTTGTACTGAAACGTACTGCAACATCTGAGGTGACAATGGAGTGGCTACAGTACATGTTATGTTTATGCTGATGAGCTATACAAACAAAGCCGTGTAGCAGATTAGAGAACAATCTGTTGTTCTTCACCTATGGGAACTATAAGCGAAAGCTTTAGAATATTTGAACATTACTGCACATGTGTGCAGAGTCGTCGTACGGCCACTAATAAATATAAGGATTGAGCTACCCCAATATTTAGGCAGGAGAGCATTTCGTGAGTAACAACACCGCATGTATGAATGCTGGGCGGTAGGTGGAATCCATTTTGAGGACAGAAGACTCCACTTGACGATCTTTTGGAAACATGGATTACTGGAAGCTTTGCGGAATTGGACTTTTCTAACGAAACTTGGAATCTCTTCGTGCAAACAATAAGTGATAGCCCTATTGGGTAACCCGAGAAGATTATTTAAGTACGCAGCCGACCTCACAGCAGGAAAAAACCGGTGCTCACAGCGGAGAGAAGGATGTTTATTTATTCTTGACACTCAACGGGGGACCATGTGTCAAATCATATCGGACGCAAGCTCCTGCACGACCGCCCAGTCTCGACTCATGCATACCATTCGAGGACTAGTTTTCCCTACTCCTCGGAGCATGTCGTCGGGTAATTCGGCCTCCCACGTTGTTTATCAGTTCGCCTACGGTTGCGATGACATTGACATAGGTAGAACTAACCGTCAGTTAACTCAAAGGGTAGATTTACATTTGCCAAAGTGGTTGGGACAAGTTATAACGCAACAAGCGGATACGAATGTGAAGATTAATCGGAGCCCGGCATCGTCTATTACCCCGCAACTCATGGCAACTCGTGCTTTCATGAACTCTGAGACCGCGTTCCAAGTGTTATTGCACAACAAAAACCTGATAAGATTGGCAGTCAGCGATGCGTTACTAATTAATACTATCAACCTGTGCTATGTGCATATAAACTTTTGATTGCCTAGGTCTTACCTGTACTATTTTGATTGGTGTTTCTAGTTTTTCCAACTATATACTTGTTTATGTATTTCTGCTCGTATGGTTTGAGACTGAAGAGAATAAGCTAAATGCTGACATATCGCAACCTTTCTCTTCTTTCTTCCTTGTCGAAATGATTTAAATCCATTGTCTTAATTTTGTGAAAATAAAAGCATTCCTTTTGTGATGGGCAGCGCCACATTTGCTTGAATAGATCAACGCGCAGAAGTTCCGGAAGACACCAATTAACTTCGAATTGTAGCAGAGAGCATTGTTGCAAGCGCTTAACTTGTAGTTGCTCCATTTTGAGCTTAACAATTCCGCATATATATTTGGGGTTATTTTTAAAGTAACATAGCTGGGGTATTTGCCTCGTTCTGGGATTATCATGCCGAGTTTAAAGACGTGTTGCATCCATATCAGACCATCTAGATAAGGTAACCCAAATACAATCGGCTCAGTATAGCCAATCGTCGTATATCAATCGCTTAGGTGACAAGAACTTAGGTTGTCACGTTGCCATGTTTTTCACACGGCTGTCTTCAGTTTGGATGTGCGTATGCATGTAACCAACCCACTGTTACATTGCGCCCGGTCAACATGTGTTGAAGATGAAAAGGAATTCGATTATTGAAGCATGTTGCTACCAAATTAAGTATCAGCACTTGTCTTGCTGAGTAGTTTAGTAAATTCATAATGTTACCGTGCTGCTTGGCAGCGGATTCGTGTGATGTGTTCTACTTAAGCAGCGATGAGCCACGTGGTCTGTCTTGGAAGAAAAGACAACGTCAGCGTGATTTCTTGCAACCTTACTACTAATTTGGCATTGATCGATGTAACGGAGACGAGTAGGTTGTGACTCATATACTGGTCCAGAGCAATGAGGATTAAAAGAGGTGCAAATGACGGAATGACCGAGAAGATTAAGGCAAGTCGACTCAATGTGTAAATGGCGGCGAGCCACAGGGAATGGGAGGCATTTGCACGAAAATGAGGCGA